CCCCCGCCGCCGCCGCCGCTGCTGCTGCTGCTGCTGCTGCTGCTGCTGCTGCTGCTGCTGCTGCTGCTGCAGCAATGGAGCCCCCACTCCCCACACTCGGGCGGCGCCTCCCCGTGGCCAGCCGCCCTGTGAAGATAGCCGTGACAGTGGCGGACTCGAAGGACCTTTTGCGGAAGGTAATTTTCTTTTTTTTTTTTTATTTTTTTGCTTTTTTTGTCTCTTTTTTTCTCCTTTTTGTCCCCTTTGAGGCCTCTTTTTGTCTCCTTTCTGCTGCTGCTTTGCTGCTGCTTTGCTGCTGCTTCTGTCTCCTTTTTTTCTCCTTTTTGCTGCTCTTTTGGGGCTTCTTCGGGTCTCTTTTTGCTGCCTTTTCGCCCTTTTTTCATTCCTTTTTTCCCCTTCTTTCTGTCTCCTTTTTTGTCTCCTTTTTGTCTCCTTTTGTCCCTTTTTTGTCTCCTTTTTGTCTTTCTTTTTGTCTCCTTTTGTCCCTTTTTTGTCTCCTTTTTGCCCCTTTTTTGTCTCTTTTTTGTCCCTTTTTTGTCTCCTTTTTGCCCCTTTTTTGTCTCTTTTTTGTCCCTTTTTTGTCTCTCTTTTATCCCGTTTTTGTCTCCTTCGAATTCTTTTTAGTCTCCTTTTGTTTGTCTCTTTTTGTCTCCTTTCGTCTCTTTTTATTTTTTAAAGTTTTTATCTTTTTTAATCTTTCATTTCCTTTTTTATCTTTTTAGTCTTTTATTATTTTTCAATCTTTTATTTTCTTTTTATTTCGCTTTGTCTCCTCCTATCTCTTCCTGGTGCCTCCGACCTGCTGCTGCTGCTGCTGCCCGTGCTGCTGCTGCTGCTGCTGCCGCCCTTGCTGCTGCTGCTGCTGCTAAAACTGCTGCTGCTGCTGCTGTTGCACTGTTGCTGCTGGTGCTAGTGCCGCTGCTGCTGGTGCTGCAGCGACTGCCGCTGCCGCTGACTACTGCGGCAGCCGCTGCTGCTGCTGCTGCTGCTGCTGCTCATGCTGCTGCTGCTGCTGCTGCTGCTGCTGCTGCTGCTGCTGCAGGCGCCTCCAGTGGCCCGCAAGTGGGCGCTGCCGCCCCCAGGAGATGTTTCTCGGCAGTCTTTTTGTGCTGGGGTTCTTTTCCCTCCCGTGTCTGCTGCTGCTGTTCGCACGCAGCAGCAGCAGCAGCAGCAGCGGGGGGCTGCAGCAGCAGGTGCTGCAGCAGCAGCTCACGGGCTCGGCGCGGCTCCCACCAACCCGTGGAAGCTGCCGACCCCGCAGCAGCAGCAGCAGCAGCAGCAGCACCAGGAGCAGCAAGAGGCACTGAAAAAGTCCCTTGCTGCGCCCCCCGGGGCTCCTGCTGCTGCTGCTGCTGCTGCTGCTGCTCGGTCGACAGAAGCGTCTCCAGCAGCAGCAGGACCTGCAGCGCCAGCAGCAGCGGCAGCGCCAGCAGCAGCAGCGCCCGCTGCTGCTGCAGCAACAGCAGCAGCAGCACCCGAGGCAGCAGTTAAACCAGCAGCAGCTGCTGGCCCATCTGGCGCTGCTTCTCCTTCTGCCCCTGTCTCCTTTGCTGCTCTCAAGTCTCCTGCAGCAGCAGCAGACTCAGCAGCAGCGATTGCGAGCCGTAAGAAACACTGAGGGTTTAGGGTTTAGGGTTTAGGACCTAGGGTTTAGTGTTTAGGGTTTAGCGCGGACAGTGCCAGAAACACCGGCGCTGATCTCGCCACTGCAGCAGCAGCTGCAGCAGCAGCTGCTGCAGCAGCAGCTGCTGCAGCAGCTGCAGCAGCAGCTACGACTGCGAGGAAGAGCTGCAGCCGAGAGCCAGGTGCATCCGCCGAGGGTTTAGGGTTTAGGGTTTAGGGTTTAGGGTTTGGAGTTTGCATGCGGTTGCTGCTGCGCTGCAGCTCAACCCTCGCTGGATGCTGGACTTAGCCTTGGGGGAGGTGTTTCTCTCTCGACGCTGATTGCCAAAAACAGCAGGAAATGTGGGGCCCTAGGGTTTAGGGTTTAGGGTTTAGGGTTTAGGGTTTAGGGTTTGGGGTTTGGGGTTTAGGGTGGCGCTTGGGGGCTCAGTGCTTGGAGGCTGCGAGGCTGTCTTGCGAAGAACAGTAGGGCAGCAGCCGCCGCAGCAGCAGCAGCAGCAGCTGCGTGGCTAAGGGGCTAGGGTTTAGGGTTTAGGGTTTAGGGTTTAGGGTTTAGGGTTTAGGGTTTGCGTTTCAGGCATAAGCGTCAGCGTGAGGGGGCGCGCTGTGAACACCCTGGCGGGAACAGCAAAGCCATCAGGGTCTGCGTGGAAGAGCGGAGCAGCAGAACCAGCAGCAGCAGCAGCAGCAGCAGCAGCAGGCGCAGCAGCAGCAGCAGGAGCAGCAGCAGCAGGCGCAGCAGCAGCGGGGGCGCCGCCGGGCGCGGCTGCTGCTGCAGCGGGCGAGCGTGCGGGCTACGGCGCGGCGTCGCTGCAGGCCTACAGCAGCGCTGCTGCTGCTGCTGCTGCTGCTGCTGCTGCTGCTGCGCTCGAAGGCCCCCCTCGTGCTGCTGCTGCTGCTGCTGCTCCCCTTTCAGAAGAAGCTTATCCAGATTTAATGGAAGCAGCAGAAAGAGCTCGAAATGATTTGTCAAGAGAGCGGCAGCGGGTGCGGCGGCCAAAGGCGAAGCTGGTGCGCGCAGGTGCAGCAGCAGCAGCAGCAGCAGCAGCAGCAGCAGACCCCGCTGCGGGCTTCTTGGGGGCCCCCCAGGGGGCCCCCAAGAAGGTCGGCCTGCAGCAGCTCCACGAGCTGCAGTCCGCCATGGCTGCTGCTGCCAAGCCCAGCAGCAGCAGCAGCAGCAGCAGCAACGGGTCCGGCCTCGTCGGCGCTGCGCCCAACGGGACCTTCCCTGCTGCTGCTGCTGCTGCTGCTGCTGCTGCTGCTGCTCGCCCGGAAGCAGACTTTGGGGGCCGCGTCTCCGGACTTCCCAGCGCTGCGTTTCCGCCGCTGGTGGCTGCGCCTTTCAACCCTGCAGCAGCAGCAGCAGCAGCGGAGCAGCAGCAGCAGGCGGGCCGCCGCGGGGGGCAGCAGCAGCAGCAGGAAGTGCTGCAGCAGCAGCAGCGCGAGCTGCTGCGGCAGCAGGCTGAAGAGTGCTTGAGGTCAGATGCTGAAAGGGAAAAAGAAATGAGAGAAAGGGCTTTGAAAAAGCTGCAGGAGCTCGACGCGCGGCTTGCTGCTGCTGGTGCTGCTGCTGCTGCTGCAGCGGCTCCGCAGCAGCAGCAGCAGCAGCCGCCCGCCGACGCCGCTGCGAAAGAGCAGCAGCAGCAGAAACCCCTGGAGCAAACGCAGCAGCAGCAGCAGCAGCAGCAGCAGCAGCAGCAGCACGCGAAGCAGCCTGAGGAAGCCTGGAAGCAAAGAATGTACGGACACCCCAGCGAGGCCTCAAGCCTGCAGCTGCCGCCGCCGCCCCCGGCTCACCCGCAGCAGCAGCAAGAGCAGCAGCAGCAGCAGCAGCAGCAGCAGCAGCAGCAGCACGGAGTCAGTGGACCCGCGAGCTGGCGGAGCCGCAGGAATGCCTCCAGGGATAGGCGCCAGCAGCAGCAAGAAGACGGGCAGTTTCAGCAGCAGCAGCAGCAGCAGCAGCAGCAGGGGAGAGCTCAAGATGATATGCTGAGCCGCAGACAGCGGCCCCCGCAAGACGCTCAGCAGCAGCAGCAGCAGCAGCAGCAGCAAGACAGCAGCAGAGGTGCTGCAGCCCGTGAGGAGCTGCGGTGGCGCAGCGGCGCCCGTCAGCCGCCGCTGCTGCAGCAGCAGCAGCAACAGGAACACGGGAAGCCTGCAGCAGCAGCGGGAGCTGCAGCAGGGCTTGCTGCTGCACTAGTTGAAGACAACACTGCAGCAGCAAGTCTCCCAGTGAAGCAGCAGCTGCCGCGGGGGATGCTGCCTCTGCCGGGGGCCCTCAGGGGCCGCCAGCGGGCCCCCGGCCAGGACTATTTAGACCTGCAGCAGCAGCAGCAGCAGCAGCAGCAGCAGCAGCAGAGTAGGGCGCAGAGCTGGAGGCGGGCCCATGCCACTGCGGTGGACGGCGCCAAGGAGCAGCAGCAGCAGCCTCAGCAGCAGCAGCCTCAGCAGCAAGTGCAGCCACAGCAGCAGCAGCCGCAGCAGCAAGTGCAGCAGCAGCCGCAGCAGCAGCAGCCACAGCTGCAGCAGCAGCAGCAGCAGCCACAGCTGCAGCAGCAACAGCAGCAGCCACAGCTGCAGCAGCAGCAGCAGCCACAGCAGCAGCGGCGTGAGCAGCCAGTACAGCCGCAGCAGCGACCGCATCAGCAGACAGCAGGAGCTGCCGGCGCAGCTGCAGCAGAACTAGGGAGCGAAGAAGCAGCAAAGGCAGCAGCAGCAGCACCGAAAGCAGCAGCAGCAGCAGCGCCAGCAGCAGCAGCAAAGGCAGCAGCACCTGCTGCTGCGGCACCCTCGTATGTGGCTGTTCCCGCAGCAAAAGGGCCCCAGAAGAATGGGAAGATGTGGCAGGTGTGCAGCGCCTCCTTCCCTGCTGCGCCTGCAGCAGCAGCAGCAGCAGCAAACGGCAAAGCAACTGCAGCAGCAGCAGCAGCAGGAGCAGGCGCGGCAGGAGCAGCAGCAGCAGGGGCGCCGGCAGCAGCAGCTGCTGGATGGAAGACAGCCGCAGGGCAGCAGAAGCAGCGCCCAGCAGCAGCAGCAGCAGCAGCAGCAAAAGTAGGGCCAGCAGCAGATCTGTCTTTCAAGGCGCTGCTGTTCCCGAGGGGACCGCAGCTGCGGGTTGCTGCAGCAGAGCAGCAGCAGCAGCAGCAGCAGCACGGCGACGCAGCAGCAGGAGACCACGGGCCCCACCAGGCGGAAGGGGGCCACGGCGCGGGGCATGCGGACTCTGCTGCTGGCGAGCAGCACAGCAGCAGCAGCAGCAGCAGCAGCAGCGCAGCAGCAGGGTCACCTGCTGAGGGGCGCCGCTCCCAGGCCCCCAGGGGCTGGGGAGAAAGGCCTGAAGTTGTTGCTGTTCCTTTTGCTGCTGCAGCAGGAGAGGATTCTGCTGCGTGGCCAGCGCCAGACGCAGCAGCAGAAGCAGCAGCAGCAGCAGCAGCAACCCACAAGGCGCATGCGCACAGCAGCAGCAGCGCCAAGCAGCAGGACGACGCAGCGCCCGCAGCAGCAGCTGCAGCGGCGACGGAACCAGCAGCAACACCAGCAGCAGCAGCAGCAGCAGCAGCAGCGCATGCCAGACACAAGCCCGCAGCAGATGCTGCAGCAACGCAGAGGGATGCTCGCCGCAGCCGCAACAGCGGCCGCGCTGCAGTGGCTGGGCCTGGTCAGCAGCAGCAGCAGCAGCAGCAACAGCAGCAGCAGCAGCAGCAGCAGCAGCATGCGACTAGAGACGGAACAGCAGTTCGCGAGCCTGGTGCTCCTCACAGGGCAGCGCAGCAGCAAAAGACTGCAACAGGAACAGCAACCGCCGCAGCAGCAGCAGCAGCAGGACCAGCAGCAGCAGCAGCAGCAGCAGCAGCAGGGGACCACCACGCAGCTGCCTTGCGAGACAGAGGCGAAAGAAGCCACCGGAATGAACGGAGATCAGCAAGAGGCGGCCGCTTGGGGAGCCAGGCGCAGCAGCAGCAGCAGCAGCAGCAGCAGCAGCAGCAACAGGGTGCAGCGGTTGATGTTTCCCCTGAAGGCCTTCAGGGGGCTTCTCGCAGCTCCACTGCGCGCGGCGCTGCTGCTGCTGCGAAGGAGAAGCAGCAAGGGCTTGCTGCTGCAGGCAGCCGCGCTGCTTCCGCAGCAGCAGCAGCAGCAACAACAGCAACAGCAACAGCAGCAGCAGCAGCAGAAGAGGCAAAGGCGAGGCCGCGGCTGCCCGCGGGGGAGACTAGAAGGGCGTGGGGAACTGTTGCTGCTGGCGCCACTCTGAGAGACAGGCGAGCAGCAGCAGATAGAGAGGGGGGAGCAGCAGCAGCAGCAGCAGCAGCAGCAGCACCGCTGCCTGCGGCTTCCCACCAGCTGCAGCAGCAGCAGCACGGAGGCAGCACAAAGCGCCACGGCAGCCAAGCTGTGTGGCTGCCCAAGGCGACCAAGTCGCCCCCGAAAGAGCAGCAGCAGCAGCAGCAGCAAGCAGCAGCAGCTGCTGCGGATTCAGCAGCAGCAGCAGCAGCAGCACCAGATATGAACCAAGAGACCCATGTGTGGGCCAAGAAGGGCCGCGGCGGCGGCCGCAGGGGAGAAGCAGCAGCAGCAGCAGCAGCTCGGGGTGTCCTTGGCGGAGCAGCAGCAAAGACTGATGGCGCTGCTGCAGCAGAAGCAGCAGCAGCAGCAGCAGCAGCAGCAGCAGAAGAGGACGATGACGGATTCCAAGTTGTAAGAAACAAACGGAAGGAGCAGCAAGAAAAAAGAAAAGAGAGACTGGAGCAGCAGAAGCACGAGCGCAGAGAGGCGCGGCGCCGTGAGCAGCAGCAGCGGCAGCAGCAGCAGCAACAGCAGCAGCAGCAGCAGCAGCAGCAGCCACGGCCAGTCTCCCCGGAGACGCCTTCGTCGCCGTCCTCCGCGGCCGCCCAACAGGCGCAGGTGCGGCAGCAGCAGCAAGAACAGCAAGAGCAGCTCCAGCAGCAGCAGCAGCAGCAGCAGCAGCAGCTGCAGCCGGAAACGCAGCATGAGGAGCCGCAGCCAGAACAGCAGCAGCAGCAGCTGCAGCTGCAGCAGCAACCGGCTGTGACTTTGACTGTGCCATCCGGTGCTACTGCGAGCAGCAGCCCAACTGCCGCAGCAGCGTTTGTGGGACAGCAGCAGCAGGAGCTGCGGCAGCAGCAGCAGCAGCAGCAGCAGCAGCAGCAGCCGGAGGTTGCGGCTTCCTCCAGCGAGAGTGCGGCAGTTGAAGCTGCAGCAACATTGGAGGCTGAGTCCACGATTGAGGAGTGGCAGCAGCAGCGGCAGCAGCAGCAGCAGCAGCACCCGATGTTGGCGCTGCCGCAGCAGCAGCAGCAGCAGCAGCAGCACGCGGGCATGAGCCGCGCCAGCAGCCCCGGGACGCTGCGGGCGACAGCAGATCCTTGGTACCCCACGCCGAGCGGGGCAGCAGCAGCAGCAGCAGCAGCAGCAGCAGCAGCAGCAGCAGCCGCACTCGCAGAAGACTGCAGCAGCAGGCGTGGGAACTGCAGCAGCAGCAGCAGCAGGCTTCTCGCTCTGGAGCAGCAACTTCGCGCAGCCAGCCCCAGCTTCTCGTGTTGCACCAGACACAATAGCAGCAATCTGGGCCAGAGACCCTGGGGTTTCTGCTGCGGGTCCGCAGGAGCTGCTGCCGCTGCAGCAGCAGCTGCAGCAGCAGCTGCAGCAGCAAGCGCAGCCGCGAACAATGCACTTCACCCCGCAGCAAATCCACCCCGCGCTGCAGCAGCAGCCGCTGCTGCAGTCCGACATGCTGCATGCGCAGCAGCTGCTGCAGCAGCAGCACCTCGCGGGGGCTGTTGCGGAGGGGGGGGACCCTGCTTCGGTCTACGTGCAGCAGCAGCAGCACTTCCGCACTGCAGCAGCAGCAGCAGCAGCAGCAGCAAATAGGCCGAAAGACATGTTTGGCACTGCAGCAGCGCTGGTGCAGGGGGGGCTGCCGCCCTCGCAGCAGCCGCATACCGAACGGTACGGTGCTGCAGCAGCAGCAGCAGCAGCAGCAGCTGCTGCTGCTCACTTCCCGGGGGTTTCGGCAGGGAGCGCTTTCCACGTGCAGCAGCAGCTGCTGCAGCCCTCCTTCCACACGACGCAGCAAGCAGCAGCAGCAGCAACGAACTCCTACGCGCAGCAGCTGCAGCAGCAGCACGAGCGAGACCTGTGGGGCGACCCTGCTGCTGCTGCTGCTGCTGCTGGCCGAACTGCTGTGGCTTCTCCTGCTGCAGCACAAGCCGCGCTCGACGTGGGCGCTTTGGACCAGCAGCAGCCTCCTTCATTTGTGCCTTACATGCAGCAACAGCAGCAGCAGCAGCAGCAGCAGCAGCAGCAGCAGCAGCAGCAGCAGCAGAGGCGCAACGGGCCCTACGGGGTGCTGGGCCCTGCTGAGGGGGCCCCCCCCCACGGCGCTGTGCCGAAGTTTTATATGTGAGATGGTTCTACTATCTGGCTATTCTTGCAGCAGCAGCAGCAGCAGCAGCAGCAGCAGCAGCAGCAGCAGCAGCGGCAGCAGCAGCAGCAGCAGGCTGTGCGTGCCGCTGCTGCGTGCTGCGTCTGGTGCGTCTCTCGTGCTGTCTCTTTTGAAAAGGCGCCGGCTGCTGCGTCGCCTTCGAGTTGCTGCTGCTGCTGCTGCTGCTGCTGCTGCTGCGGCAGGCGCAGCAGGAGCAGCAGCAGCAGCAGCGGGATTTTGTTTTGGTTTTGTGTGGGGTCCTTCGCTGTACAGACAGCAGTAGCAGCTGCAGCACGAAGAGACACTTGGAAGCAGAAACGCCAAAGGAGACAGTTCAGACAGACCGCTAGGGTTTAGGGTTTAGGGTTTAGGGTTTAGGGTTTAGACGGGCGGCAGGGGACACAAGGCTGCTGCGGGGCTCCCAGGAGGCCTCGTGCGCAGCAGCAGAGCTAGCTGCAGCTAGCCATAGTTAGTTGTGGCTAGGAGCCGCTAGCTAGCTGCAGCTAGCCATAGCTAGCTGAGGCCAGCAAGCTGGCAGCAGCTGTGGCTAGCTAGCAGCAGCAGCTGTGGCTAGCTGGCAGCAGCAACTGTGGCTAGCCAGCAGCAACTGTGGCTAGCCAGCAGCAGCAGCAGCAGCAGCAGCTAGCTGTGGCTAGCCATTCTGTCTCGCTGTTGGGGGGGAGTTGCTTCCTGGAGTGTCTTTGTTGTAGCTCTCAGGTGTACGTACACCCCAGCAGCAGCTGCAGCAGCAGCGCAGCCGTAGCGGCGGTCGGGTGTACAGACAGCAGCAGCACGGGCAGCTCCGCTGCAGCAGTTATGTCTGCGGAAGCCCCAGCAGCAGCAGCAGCAGCAGCAGCAGCAGCAGCAGCAACAGCAGCAGCAGCAGCAGCAACAGCAGCAGCAGCAGCAGCAGCACTGTTGCTGCTGCAGCATCGAGGTGCACATACACCGCAGCAGCTGCAGAAGCGCTGTCGCAGCAGCAGCAGCAATGAGGTGTACGTACACCCCAGCTGCTGGTCTTGACTCTGCAGCGCGAAGTTGGGGTGTACATACACCCCACTATCTGCTGCGGACTTCAAGACAAGACAAGCAAGATAAATATATGTCCAGAAATGCTGCTGCTGCTGCAGCAGCAGCAGCAGCAGCGGATATAGCAGCAGCAGCAGCAGCTGCTGCAGCGGCTGCTGCTGGGGGTCCTGTTGGCGGGGGCCCCCGCCTGCTCGGGCTCAGGCGTTGGTGAAGTCTCAAACCCTAAAATAGGGTTTAATATTCTTTAACATGAAAATAAATATTTATTTTATTTTTAATTTTGAAAAATACTTTTATTTTCAATTTTATTCTTCAAAGTCTTCCAGTTCGCGTGGCTTGGCTGCGGCTGCCTCTCCGGCTCCCTGCCTCTCTCTAAACCCTAAACCCTAAACCCTAAACCCTAAACCCCAAACCCTAAACCCTAATTCATGCTTGGGGTTTTCGGCGGAGCTTGTGGCGCTGGCGGACGCGGCGTCGGGCGCGCGAGCCGGCGCTGCGGGGCTGACGCGGAAGCCAAACCCCAAACCCTAAACCCTAAACCCTAAACCCTAAACCCTCGGAATGGTGCTGCTGGAGCTCTGGGAGGCTTTGCCTGCGTCGCTGCAGCAGCGGCTGTCTCGCTTCAGGTGTACGTACACCCGGTACAAGTTCAAAGTGCTTCGCTTCGACCGCCGCACAGGCTTCTTCAGCGCAGGTGAGCGCCTAAACCCTAAAAAAGGGTTTAGGGTTTCCGCCAAACCCTGCACTCGAGCCGACGCGCCTCTCCTGCCTCCCGCTGCTGCCGCTGCTGCCGCAGCTGCTGCAGCTGCTGCAGCGTGCGCACTGCTGCAGCAGCAGACACGCACCACTGCAGCAGCAGCAGCAGCAGCAGCAGCAGCAGCAGGTGTGGGGCCGCGCTGCTTTGCTGCTGCAGGGCTGCCAATGGCGCTGCTGGTGGGCTCCACTGTTGCTGCTGGGACTTTCATTTTGGACAAACAAATGGAAGTTCGCTACTGGCGGCGGCAGACAGTCTCCGAAAGAGAGCTGCAGCAGCAGCAGCAGCAGCAGCAGCTGCTGCTCTTCCTCGAGCAGACCACTCCCCCAGACCAGCTCGACAACTCCGTGCCCCTTCCCGGCAAAGACTGAGCAGCAGCAGCAGCAGCTGCTGCTGCTGCTGCGGAGACTTTAGCAGCAGCAGCAGCAGACAGGAGCAACTGCAGCAGCAGCAGCAGCACGTTGTGCAGCGACTGCGCTGCAGCAGCAAGCGAGCAGCACCAACAACAATGCACTAGAAAACAGTTGCAGCAGCAGCAGCTGCTGCTGCTGCAGCAAAAGAAACTACAAAGTCCTTCCTCTCTATAGCCAAAAAGAGGGTGGCATTAGCAGCAGCAGCAGCTGCTGCTGCTGCTAATGCTGCTGCTGCTGCTGCAGCAGCAGCAGCAGCAGCAGCAGCAGGTGCACTACTGCTTGAGGGGCTTAAGTCCCAGATTTTGTCGAATAGAATTCCACTGGGCGACGGACAACTCGCCGTCCCTCTGCTTCTCCGCCTGCTTGCTGCTGCTGCTGCTGCTGCTGCTGCTGCTGCTGCTGCTGCTGCTGCTGCGGCTCCTGTCGGCCTTGGCCTCGCGTCTGCGGTCCCTGTCTCCCCTGTCTCTTTCTCGCAGCTCTCTGTCTCTTTTTCTGTCTCCTTTCACTCTTTCCCTTTCCCTCTCCCTCTCCTCTCTGTCTCTTCTTTCTCTGTCTCTTCTTTCTCTGTCTCCTTTTTCTCTGTCTCCTTTTTCTCTGTCTCCTTTTTCTCTGTCTCCTTTTTCTCTGTCTCCTCTGTCTCCTTTGTCTCTGTCTCGAGTTCGGTCTCTGTCTCCTTTGTCTCTGTCTCCTCCCCTGTCTCCTTCTCTGTCTCTGTCTCCTCTGTCTCCTCTCTCCCTGTCTCCTCTGTCTCCTCTGTCCCTATCTCTGTCCCTATCTCTGTCTCTGTCCCTATCTCTGTCTCCTCTGTCCCTATCTCTGTCTCTGTCCCTATCTCTGTCTCCTCTGTCCCCATCTCTGTCTCTGTCTCTGTCTCTGTCTCCTCTGTCCCTATCTCTGTCTCTGTCTCTGTCTCTGTCTCTGTCTCCTCTCTCTCGGTCTCTGTCTCCTCTGTCTCTCTCTCTGTCCCTCTCTTTGTCTCCTCTGTCTCCTCTCTCTCTCTCTCTGTCTCTCTCTTTGTCTCCTCTCTCTCTGTCTCCTCTGTCTCTGTCTCCTCTGTCTCTGTCTCCTCTCTCTCTGTCTCCTCTGTCTCTGTCTCCTCTGTCTCTGTCTCCTCTGTCTCTGTCTCCTCTGTCTCTGTCTCCTCTGTCTCTGTCTCTGTCTCCTTTAACTCCTTTGTCTCCTCTGTCTCTGTCTCCTTTCTCTCCCCTGTCTCCTCTCTCTCTGTCTCCTCTGTCTCTGTCTCTCTCTCTGTCTCCTCTGTCTCCTCTGTCTCCTCTCTCTGTCTTGACGAAGTCTCCTCTGTCTCCCTTAGCAGCAGCAGCAGCAGCAGCAGCAGCAAAGCTGTCTCCCCTCGCAGCAGCAGCAGCAGCAGCAGCAGCAGCAGCAGGGGTGTCTGCTGCTCGTTCGCCGAGTGCGCGTTTGGCTTCGAGAAGGCCTGCTTTATTGCTATCTTTGCAGAACTCTTTATTGAAATAATTAAAATCTTTATTATTAATTTCTTTATTATTAATTTCTTTATTTGTCTCCTTATTTGTCTCCTTAAGTGTCTCCTTTTGCTGCTGCTCTTCGGGTCTCCTCCGTCTGTCGTCGGGGGCGTTTTCGCGTTCGAGCAGCCGCGCCTGTCTTGCTGCTTCCTTCTCGCGCTGCTGCTGCTGCTGCAGCTGCCGCTGCTGCAGCACGCGCTGCTGCAGCTTTTGCTGCTGCTGCTGCAGCAGCCGTTTGCTGAGCAGCAGCGCGTGTGCCTGCGCGTCCGTGAGCGCCGCTGCTGCTGCAGCAGCGCCGCCCGCTGCTGCTGCTGCTGCTGCTGCTGCTTCCACCTCCAGCGCGGAGGGCCGCAGCGGCTGCAGCAGCTGCTGCAGCACGAAAACCTGCCGCTGCACTAAAGGAGGCAAATCCACATCAAATAGACTTCTTTTCCGCAAACAGTCGTCCACAAACTCGTCCATAAAAGACACCCGAAAGCTCCCGTCGGGCAGCCGCAGCCGCAGCTTCCGGTAGTCCGCCAGCAGGGGCTCCAGGTGTACGTACACCTCAGCGCTGGGCCCCACAAGGCGGAAATAAAAAGCCCCAACTGCTCTCAGATATTTAAAGTCTTCTTGTTTTATGAACTCCAAAATAATCTGCTTCTCGGGCTGCAGCTGCAGCAGCTTGAGGACAAGACAGAGGAAGGGGGAAGCAGCGCGAATGCCCCCGAAAGTCCCCCCCACGTACTGCAGCGCAGCAGCAAGCTCCACCACTGTTGCTGCTGTTGCAGCAAAACACTCTTCTTTCCAGAAGAAGCTCTCGTAGACTTTCCGACGAACTATGCGGCTGAACAGCAGCTGCGGGTTCTTCCCGTGCACCGCCAACGCACTCGCGTCCGTCCGGTTCGCCATTTGCTGCTGCTGCTGCTGCTGCTGCTGCTGGGGGAGGGGGGGCTGCTGCAGCAGCTGCTGCTGCTGCTGCTGGGGGGGCAGCAGCTGCTGCTGCTGCTGGTGGTGGTGGTGGTGCTGGTGTTGTTGCGGGAAAGGACGCGGACAGGCAGCGGCGGCGCTTTGTTGCTGCTGCTGCTGCTGCTGCTGCTGCTGCTGCTGCGGCGCAGCAGCAGAGAGCAGCGCCACCCGAGGCAGGGAAGCCCTCGCGAGACCTGAAGCAAAATAAAAAGATAAACTTTGTAAAAGATAACTTTGGAATTGCTGCGAAGGCCTGCTGCTGCTGCTGCTGCTGCAGACGCCACCTGCTGCTGTCCGAGCGGCTCTCTGCAGCTGCTGCATGCAGGCAACCAGCAGCAGCAGCAGCAGCAGCAGCAGCAGCAGCAGCCAGTCAGCAGCAAATGAGAAGCTCGGGCGGATGTTTTCTGGAGTTCTTTGACAGGAGGCCGCACTCGAGGCCCAACTGGCCGCCACACCTCCACGCCAGTTGCTGCTGCTGCAGCTGCTGCTGCTGCACAAGCCTGCATGCAGCAGCAGCAGCAGCAGCAGCAGCAGCAAGAAGAACCACAGGACCCTCAGCAGCGCCTCCACAAATGCTTCAGAATGGCTACTTCGCTTGCAGGCCCAATCAACATCAAGGGCGAGAACAGCAGTAGCAGCAGCAACAGCAGCAACAGCAGCAACAGCAGCAGCAGCAACAGCAGCAGCAGCAGCAACAGCAGCAGCAAAACCGCCTCTGCAGAACCCACCATTTGCGTCGCAGCACCTCCTACCCTCCGGCGAATTCTCGTGAGCCAGCAAACCCTAAGTCTCAGCCACTAAACCCCAAACCCTAAACCCTAAACCCTAAACACTCTAAACACTAAACCCTGCTGCTCAGCAGCAGCAGCAAGCAGCTAGTGCTCGCCTCCGTGTGTCTGCAGCAGCAGCAGCAGCAGCAGCAGCAACTTGACGAGCCGCTGCTGCTGCAGCTGCCGGCCTCCTGGGCCTCTGGAGTGTCTTTTGGGCTAGAAGTGCTGCAGTGGTTTAGTCTGCCGCAGCAGCTGCAGCAGCTGCAGCAGCAATCCGCGGCGAGAAGAGCAGCAGCAACAAAAGCAGCAGAAGAAGCAGCTGCTGCGCTCAGTGGGGACGCAGCAGCAGCAGCAGCAGCAGCAGCAGCAGAGGCAGCGGATGTCTACGTCGTGAGAGGAGAGGCAGCAGCTGCCCTCGAACGCGCTAGGAGCAGCAGCAGCAGCAGCAGCAGCGGCAGCAGCATTAGCAGCATTGGCAGCAGCAGCAGCAGCAGCAGCAGCGGAGCCGTCTACAGGTGCTGCTGCTGCTGCCGCTGCGAGTCCACTGGCCAGAAGTCTTCCTCTCGCAAGTGTGATTGCTGGGCGGTGCAGCAGCAGCAGCAGCAGCAGCAGCAGCAAGGGCAGCAGCAGCAGCAGCAGCAAATCCAGACTGGGGGGGAGCCAGCAGCAGGCAGCTCGGGCCCAGCGCTAGGCGCCGCCGCAGCAGCAGCAACATGGCGAGCAGCAGCAGCTGCTGCAGCAGCAGAAGCAAAAGGCAAAGACCCGTGGCAGCTGCATGAAGAGCAGCTGAAGGAGCTGCTGCAGCAGCAGCAGCAAGAGAAGCACATTTGGGCCTCCCCTGTTGCTGCTTTTGGGGACTGGTGGGAATTCCTGGTGAACCCTCAAGCTGTGGAGACAGCTCCCTGCTGCGCTGCTGCTGCTGCTGCTGCTGCTGCTGCTCAGGGTGGTGGCGCTTCAAGCAGCAGGACCAGCAGCAGCAACAGCAGCAGCAGCAACAGCAGCAGCAGCAGCAGCAGCAGCAGCAGCTGGGAACTGCACTGCGTGCGTCAGGTGAACATGCTGTGTGCAGTGCCGCCGGCAGACGCAGCAACGACTGGCCCTGCGGATGCTGTTGCTGCTGCTGCTGCTGCTGCTGCAGCGAGCTTGTGCCCCCCAGCAGCAGCAGCAGAAGCAGCAGCAGCAGCAGCAGGACCCACGGCAGGCTGCCCTTCCCCACTATCGCCGGACCCAGAAGCAGCAGAAAACATGCTGCGCGCTTGGGAGCAGCGCCACTTCCGCAGGCAAGAAGCAGACTTAAAGCAGCAGCAGCAGCAGCAGCAGCAGCAGCAGCAGCAGCAGCAGCGAGGGCTGCCGCCGCTGCCGCTGCCGCACGCGGGCGTTCTGAGTTTTCTTCCGCCGCTCTGCAACTGCGGCTACAAGGGCCACTACGAGCTTTGGCAGCAGCAGCAGCAGCAGCAACAGCAGCAGCAGCAGCAGCAGCAGCAGCAAGAGCAGCAGCAGCCCGCGGCCAAGGAATCTCCGTTGAACAGCGCCAACGCATCGCCAGCAGCAGCAGCCGCAGCAGCAGCAGGAGTGACTGCTGCTGCTGCTGCTGCTGCTGCTCAATTTGAAGAGGGCAGCGTCGGCAGCTCGCCCGGGGGAGCCTTGACCCCCAGCAGCAGCAGCAGCAGCAGCAGCAGCAGCAGCAGCAGCAGCAGGCTGCTGCCCAGCGCATGCAGCCAGCGGGGCTGCGAAGGCCTTCTTTATTTGCCTTATTCTTTCATTGAAGTGGCCCTGTCTCGGGGGAAAGAGACACTTGCTGCGCTGGCTGTGGGAGCAGCAGCAGCAGCAGCAGCAGCAGCAGCAGCAAAGCTGCCGGGCCCCACTGACATGTACGTGGGCGCGCTGCGCAACACTGCTGTCATTGCATGCAGCAGCAAGCAGCACGAGCGCTGCTGCTGGCGGGCCTTGAGAGAGTTGGGGCTTGCTGCTGCTGCTGCTGTGTTTGACGTTGTGTGCAAGGACTTCACGCCCTTCAATCCTGCTGCTGCTGCTGCTGCTGCTGCTGAGGGAGACGCGGAGGCGGAGGGCGACGCTGCTGCTGCTGCTGCTGCTGCTGCTGCTGCACGCACGGTGGTTGAGGAGGACGCCGTGCTGCAAGAGCTGCTGCAGAAGCTGCAGCAGCAAGACGACCTGCAGCCGCAGCAACAGACGCAGCAGAGCAGCAGCAGCACTGTCAGCAGCAACGGCGGCAGCAACAGCAGCCTCCAGAGCAGCAGCAGCAGCAGCAGCAGCAGCAGCAGCAACGCCAAGTCGGTCCCCTTTTCTTCAAAGAGGCGTCCATACACCGTAAAGCTGCGGGCAGTGGGAAGCCTCAAGCGACAACGCCGCCGCAGCAAGCAGCAGCAGCAGCAGCAGCAGCAGCAGCAGCAGCAGCAGCAGCAGCAGCACGACGAGGACAGCGGCTTCAGCAGCAGCGCGGACTCTTCTAAGTGCGACTCTGAGGAAGAGACAGACCCGAGCTTGGCGCTGCTGGAAGCTGCTGCTGCTGCCCTTGGCCTCCTAGAACCAAGCGAGCTGCAGAAGCAGCAGCAGCAGCAGCAGCAGCAGCAGCAGCAGCAGGAGAAGCGAAGCCGCGTCAAACGGGCACTGCAGCAGCCGTTGACTGAGGACGGGGTGCTGCAGGTCGCTCAGGACCTCTTCGGCCCCTGCAGCAGCAGCATCGCCAACAGCAGCAGCAGCAGCAGCAGCACAAGCAGCAGCAGCAGCAGCACAAGCAGCAGCAGCAGCAGCAGCAGCGAGGCTGGCGCGCATGCACGCTGTTGCGACAGCCACGCCGTGTCTTTGCTGCTCTCAGATGACCCGGTAGTAACAAAATACAAAAAAGCAAAAGGGATTGTTTGGGGCTGGCGAGAAGAAGAAGAGCTGCAGCACTTGCTGCGCCTGCAGCAGCAGCAGCAGCAGCAGCAGCAGCAGCAGCAGCAGACACAGCAGCCGCGAATCAAGCAGCCAGGATAGGCAGTAGGCTGCGTGAGCAGTCGAGATCCTGCCTTAGGCGCAGCAGCAGCAGCAGAGCTGCTGCTGCTGTTGCTGTTGCTGCTGCTGTTGCACTTGCTGCTGCTGCTGCAGCAACTGCAGCAACTGCAGCTGCTGCAGCAAGTGCAGCGCCGCTCCTGCAAAGCCCGAGGTGTATGTACACCTCGTCTTCCCGTGTCTTTGAAGATTTCCGCCTAAACAGAAATGTATTTTAATGGCAGAACTAGCAGCAGCAGCAGAAACAGCAGCAGCAGCAGCTGCTGCTGCTGCTGCCGTCGAGCAGCAGCAAATTAGTGCCGCTAAGAGCGTCGGAACTTAGCAGCAGCAGCGGCAGCAACAACAGCAGTTGTACCCTATACCTAGCACTGCCGCAAACTCTGTGAGCAGCAGCAGCAGAGCCGCAGCATCACCTGCTGCTGCTGCTGCTGCTGCTGCTGCTGCTGCGCCGTTCCTACGTAGAAAAGGGAGGGGCAGCAATCCTTGAAGATGCAGTGCCTTCAGGGTTTAGGGTTTAGGGTTTAGGGTTTGGCTGTAAACCTCCTGGCCGCCGCGGGAGCTAGCCACAGCTGAGCACAGCTAGCTACAGCTAGCCACAGCTAGCCACAGCGAGCCACAGCTAACTGCTAGCGACAGCTAGCTACAGCTAGCTACAGCTAGCCACAGCTAGCTGCAGCCACACATCAGCGCTAGCTGCGCAGCTAGCCACCATTGGCGGGGGTGGCCAGCCCCAGCTAGCCATCGCAGCTAGCCACACAACTGGCCATTACAGCTAGCCATCACAAATAGGCCTCACAGCTAGCTGGCAGCTAGCCACCGCAGCTAGCCACCATAGCTAGCCTCAGCTAGCCACACAGCTAACTGGCAGCTAGCCACGCAGCTGGCCACATAGCTAGCTGGCAGCTCGCCGCGCAGCTAGCCACACAGCTAGCTAGCAGCTAGCCACACAGCTAGCCACACAGCTAGCTAGCAGCTAGCCACACAGCTAGCCACACAGCTAGCTAGCTACCAGCTAGCCTAAAGGCTGCCGCTGGCCCGATCTTGTTCGGTGTTGGCAGCAGCAAATAACTCAAAAAACAATCCCACAGAAAACGCTCCCCACAGCGGCAGCAGCAGCAGCAGCTGCTGCTGCTGCAGCTGCTGCTGCTGCTGCAGCAGCTGCTGCTGCTGCAAAGTTAACTACTCAGGGGGCAGCATCTTGTGTTTCCTCATAGCCTCTTCAAGGCTAGTTACGTCAAAGCGCTCGCCTGATGAAGCAGAAGCACAACACAAACGTGCTGCTGCTGCTGCTGCTGCTGCTGCTGCTGCTGCTGCTGCTGCTGCTGCTGCTGCTGTTGCTGCTGCTGCGGCTGCTCTTGCTGCCGCTGCAGGTGCAGCTGCTGTGGTTCCTGCTGTTGCTGCTGCCGCTGCGGAGTTGTTGCGAGACAGAGAGCGCAGCAGCAAGACTTCCCCAAAGCCTAAACCCTAAACCCTAAACCCTAAACCCTAAACCCTAAACCCTAAACCCCCACCTCCTATCTCGTCAAGGCCGATGATCGAATGCTCTGTTTTCCCATCGCGCACAAGAACAGCCTGCGCGCCCAAACACGCTTTTAGGGTTTAGGGTTTGCAAGAAGAAAGCAAACCAGCAATCCCTTGCAGGCGCAAACCCCAAACCCTAAACCCTAAACCCTAAACCCTAAACCCTAAGCCCTAATTAACTCACAGTGGGGAGACACCAGATTTTTAGCCCTGCAAATACAAACCCACACTTCCTCCTGCGTTATCCAGGAAGCCATCCAACCTGCCAGCTAGCTAGCTAGCTAGCTAGCTAGCTAGTCAGATAGCTAGCTAGCTAGGTAGTCAGATAGCTAGCTAGCTAGCTAGTCAGATAGCTAGCTAGCTAGCCAGCTAGCTAGTCAGATGGCTAGCTAGCTAGCTAGCTAGCTAGCTAGCTGGCTAGGCTTCACAGGCACGCGGCTAGCTCGCTAGTTGATTAGCTAGCTAGCTAGCTATGAAGGTGAAAAGTTAGCCAGCTAGCTAGCTAGCTAGCCACTATAGTAGCTAGCTAGCTAGCTAGCTAGCTGGCAGCTAACCAGTTCGCTGTGGAGGGCTAGAGGCGGCGGTCTCGCAGCGTGGGGAGCCGCGGGACTGGCGAGGGTTTAGGGTTTAGGGTTTAAGAACTAGGGTTTAGGGTTTAGGGTTTAGGGTTTACGTTCGGCGAGGAAAGGGGCCTTTTCCGCGTCAATTGCGCAAACCCTAATTGAGAGGTTTCTTTTTGCAAAGTCCCTCCAAACGGCCCAGAGCTTTTCCAGGAGGGCAAAGGTGGGGCGGAAGAACAGCAGCACCTAAACCCTCGAACAGCCACCGAGGGTTTAGGGTTTAGGGTTTAGGGTTTAGGGTTTAGGGTTTGGGGTTTAGGGTTTGGGGTTTGGGGCGGGCGGGGGCTAGGGTTTGGGCTCGCAGCGGCGGACAAGCGGAGCCGCAGCAGCAGCCTGCAGCAGCTAATGGCCTTTGGGGAGCTAGGGTTTAGGGTTTAGGGTTTAGGGTTTAGGGTTTACTAGGAGTTTGGACTTCTTGGCGAGCTCGAAGAACTGCTTCTCCTCGTGCAGCTCTGTGACTGTGCCGTGGCCCTCCTGCAGCAGCTGCTGCTGCTGCTGCAGCAGCTTTTTTCTTTGCTGCCGGATTCTCTCGAGCTCGTCTTCTGAGTCCTCTTCCCGCTGCTGCCGCCGCTGCTGCTGCTGCTGCTGCTGCTGCTGCTGCTGCTGCAGTGCTGCATCTATTGCTGCTTCCTTCTCCTGCAGCGCCCGCAGCACCTGCTCCTCCACGCGCTTCTCTATGAGGGCAGCGCCCCCCTTCCCAGAAGCCATCCCTAAACCCTAAACCCTAAACCCTAAACCCTAAACCCTAAACCCTAAACCCTGAATCCGTGTGTGTGTGTGTGCAGCAGCAGCCAGAACGGTCCGCAGGCCGTAAGACACCATGAAGGGGACGGCTGTCTGCTCAGGGCTGCTGCTGCTGCTGCTGCTGCTGCTGCTGCTGCTGCTGGTGTTTCTCGGTGGTGGGAGTTGCTGCTGCTGCTGCTGCACCGTCCGCCGCTGCTGCGCTTCCTGCTGCTGTTGCTGCTGCTTCAGTTGAGGTGTATCTACTCCTCAGAAAATAGATAAAACGAAGCAAATATTAATTTATTTGCTGCTGCGCCTTCAGTGCTTTTGCTGCATGCAGCCGGGGGGCCCCTGGGGCCCCTGAGAACCACCTAAGGCGAAAGGAGCGGAGCGGCTGTGCTGCACCAGAACAGCAGCAGCAGCAGCAGCAGCAGCAGCAGCAGCCAAAGCTGCTGCAGCAACAGCGCTTAATGAATCGAAAATGTTGAAAATTAATATAATATTAAGAAATAACTTAAATTGAATAGTCAAAACGCAGACAGTATGCGTTTACGCACGTTGCGTTAAGCTGCTGCCGGCTGCTGCTGCTACTGCTGCTGCTGCAGCAGCAGCAGCAGCAACAGCGCATGCAGCAGCAACAGCAGCCGCAGCCTGGCCTGCTCGGGCGAACTTTGTGAGCAGCAACGCCATTCGGGAAACTCTATTTTCTTATCAACTGTTTCTGTGGCTATTAAAGCTGCAGCGGGACCTTTTGTTGCAGCAGCAGCAGGCCGTAGAGGCAGCAGCAGCAGCAGCAGCAGCAGCAGCAGCGGGAGCAGCAGCAGGATCGTCCCCAGCAAGATCTTGAGGAACCAAACAGGGCTAATCTGGTTCTGCATGCAGCTCATATATCATTTGCCGCTGCTGAACAAAGTGAGAAAAGCAACACCGCAAGAGGCAGAGAGCAGCAGCAGCAGCAGCAGCTGCTGCTGCTGCTGCTGCTGCTGCAGTGGCTGCTGATGCCGCCGCTGCCGCTGGTTGCAGCTATAGCTATTGTTCCTACAGAGCCGAACGCCTTTCTGGGCGTTTCAGTAGCAGCAGCTGCAGCAGCAGCAGCAGCAGCAGCTGCTGCTGCTGCTGCTGCTGCTGTTACGTGGGCTGCTGCTGCCGCAGGCAGAGACGCGGCCCTGCGTTGGGGTGTATGGACACTGCATTGTTTTGACTGGCTCTCTGACGTGAAATATAAATGGCTGTGTCTTCTTCTTTGCTGCTGCTGCTGCACAGCAGTAGTTGCTGCTGCTGCTGCTGCTGCAGCACATCAGCAGTTGCTGCTGCTGCTGCTGCTGCAGCACAGCAGCAGTTGCTGCTGATTTGGCTGCATGCATTGTCTGCAACATTCTCCACCCTTCACTGCTGAGTGGCATTTCAAATTAATTTCTTTTTTATTTCTTTTCGCTTTCTCTCTTTGTGTCTTTTTGTGCAGCAAATGTTTTGCTGCTGAATTGATAATATTTATTTTGCTGCCGAGTTAATTAAAACACTAATTAATTAATTAATTAATTAATTAATTAATTAATAATAATAAGAATATTAATATTAATAAAATTAAGTAATGGTTGGAAGTAAATAAAATAACGAATCGACTGAAAGCCGCGCCGTGCTGCTGCTGCTGCTGCTGCTGCTGCTGCTGCTGCTGCTGCTGCTGCTGCAGGATGTCGCTCGTGTGCGCGGTGACCGGGGAAGTCCCGGACGAAGCAGTTTTTTGTCCCAAGACAAATTTGATTTATGAAAAGAGACTCATTATGAAGCACATTGCTGCTACTGGCTGCTGCCCCGTCTCCGGGGCGCAGCTGCAGCAGCAGGACTTGCTTCCCATCAAAAGTGCGTCCTGCTGCTGCTGCTGCTGCTGCTGCTGCTGCTGCTGCTGTGCTTCCTGCTGCTGCTGCGCGTGCTGCCGGCGCTGGTGCGGGTTTGCGTCCTGCTGCTGCTGCTGCTGCTCCGCGGGCTGCTGGCGCTGCTCCGCGGGCTGCTGCTGATGCTCCGCGCGCTGCTGCTGCTGCTGCTGCTGCTGCTGCTGCTGCAGCAAACCCTACGGTGAAGCCCAGGCCGCTGTCCGCCTCGTCCATTCCGGGGCTTCTCAGCTGCCTGCAGACGGAGTGGGACTCTCTTATGTCGGAGGCCTTTTTGCTCAAGACCCACCTCGAACAGGTTTGCTGCTGCTGCTGCTGCTGCTGCTGCTGCTGCTGTCAGTATCCTCGGACGCGTGCTGCTGCAGCAGCTGCTGCTGCTGCTGCTCCCGGCGTTGCAGCTGTCGGAGCTTGCGGATGCGCTGCTGCTGCTGCTGCTGCCTTCTCTTGTTCTGCTGCTTTAGATCGCCATGGCTGCTGCTGCTGCCAGTGGAGCTTAGAGGCTGCTGCTGCTGCTGCTGCTGCTGCTGCTGCTTCCGCAGGTTAGGAAGCAGCTGGCGCATGCGCTGTATCAGCAAGACGCCGCGACAAGGGTGATTGCGCGGCTGCTGAAGGAGCGAGATGCAGCAAGGCAGCAGCTGCAGCAGCAGCAGCAGCTCGTGCTGCAGCTGCAGCGTTCCGCTGCTGCTGCAGCAGACGGCGCAGAAGCAGACCTCGGTGAGTTCGCCAGCAGCAGCCGAAGCAGCAGCAGCAGCAGGTGCAGCAGCAGCAGCAAATGCATTCTGGTCTCCCTCCCGCGGCCTCGCCTCGTCCCACAGCTCATTCGTGCCGCCGCCGCTGCCGCTGCTGCTGCTGCTGCTGCTGCTGCTGCTGCTGCTGCTGCTGCAGGGATAAGCGAGGAGCTGGTGGAGGCGATGCAGTCGCTGGCGCGGCAGCTGCTGAACCAGCGGAAGAAGCGGAAGCCAGTGGGCTTCGTAACTCCTGCTGCTGCTGCTGCTGACTTCCGCTGCACTTTGTCGCTGCCGCTGCACTCAGCAGCAGCAAGAGGAGTTTTCCGGGTGACAGCAGACACAAATGCTGCTCGCCACGCTGCAGTCTTCAGCAGCAGCGGGGAGGGGGGCGCAGCAGCAGCAGCTGCTGCTGCTGCTGCGGGCGGCTCTCCCGCTGCTGCTGCTGCTGCTGCAGCAGCAGCAGCAGCGGGCGAAGGCGGCGCTGCAGCAGCCAGCGGCGTGGGCAGCGGCAAGGGAGAAGTGATTAGTGTCTCCTCAGGAGCTGATGGAGCTGTTGTCTTTTTTGATTTAAAAAATAAAAAACAATTGGAAAAAGTCCAGGCCCACAGCAAGGCTTGTCGCTGCTTCCTGCTGCACCCGCAGCAGCCGCTGCTGGTGTCGGGCTCCGACGACAAGACCGTCAAGTCCGCGCTGCGCGCTTTACTTCTCCATTTAATTAATTAATTAATTAATTAATTAATTAATTTATTTATTTATTTATTTGTTTATTTATTTATTTGTTTATTTATTCAGTTTGCGCAGCTCGAGGGCTGCAGTTCGGTGCAGCTTGCTGCAGCGCCACAGCGCTGGGAGCGCAGCAGCAGCAACAGACAGCTGGCAGCAGCAGCCGCGCAGCGGGCCCCACAACTCACCTGCTGCTGCTGCTGCTGCTGCTGCTGCTGCTGCTGCGCAGGATCTGGCGGGGGTCTCTGGACTTCAGGAGTTCCTACTCCTTGGGAGCGACTTTGCGCAAACAGCGCGGAGAAGTCTCAGCTCTCGCGCTGCACCCCCTGGGGGATTACTTTGCTGCTGTTGCTGCTGACAAGACTTGGGCCTTCATTGGCTTCCAGGAGGGCCGCTACCTCGGGGTCTACAGGGACCTTCCTTGCCAGGTACGCACCAGCAGCAGCAGCAGCAGCAGCAGCAGCAGCAGCAGCAGCAGCAGCAGCAGCAGCAGCAGCAGCAGTAGCAGCAGCAGCAAGTGTAGCGCGCTTGTCGGGAGCAGCGGCTTGCAATCCCCTGCGTCCCCCGCAGCACCAGCACCAGCAGCAGCAGCAGCAGCAGCAGCAGCAGCAGCAGCAGCAGCAGCAGCAGCAGCAGCAGCAGCAGCGTGTGTGCGCAGTACACGGCGGTGGGGTTCCACCCCGACGGGATGATCCTGGGGGCTGGCGGCAGCAACGGCAGCGTTTATATTTGGGACTTGAAAGTCCAGGAGCAGCGCGCGGCGCTGCAGGGGCACTCCGACAAAATCAGCCAGTTGGCTTTTTCCGAAAACGGCTATTACCTCGCCACGGCTAGCGCAGACGGCACTGTGAGGGTTTAGGGTTTAGGGTTTAGGGTTTAGGGTTTAGGGTTTGGGGTTTAGGGTTTAGGGTTTGGGGTTTGGGGTTTGGGGGGGGGGTTAAG